TATATATATATATATATATATATAATATATATATTTTTTTTTTAGCTCATCTGTAAACAGTCTGAACAGTGTTGGTAGTAAAACTTCATCTATGATGTAAGTGACTGCTAAATCAAATACAAACATTGCAAAGCAGCATAACATTTTAAAAATGATCACCTACGACTGAAGGAGACTCCTGCTGACAACAAATCTGTAGCCAGAAATCTGAATCTCCTTTTCTCTGCCAGCTGTCAGCAGTGACGGCAGAAATCATCCATCTGAAGGCCGAACATCTGCTGCGAGGTGACGCTGTGCTGAGAGTAGAAATGTAATGAGGTGTCTGTGAACTGAATTTATGATTTTCAGTCTCATTTCCAGCAGGAATCCTTTGGTTTGACGGTTTTCTTTTCTCAAACATTGATTTTTTTGGTAACACTTTACAATAAGATACACAAAATTTGATAAACTACTAGAGAACGCCTCAGGAACAAATTAGGAACTAACGGGTAGTTAATCAGTACTTACTGGGGAACACACAGCCAAGCCTTATCGGGGGACTAGACTACTGGTTTGTTACCACAGAAGCAGAGGATAAATTATCCATTTTAGTTCTGAATAAACCCTGCACCAGTGAGGTCACAGCTCGTAATTATTAAAAACCTGTTTCCTAGTGGTTACTGGTTTTTCTCTTTTGTAAACATATTGATGAAAGACGAGCAATTTCATCATCTTGTACTGTTGTCATCTTAACTATGACTATCACTTACTGATCACCAAATCTTTGCCTGGATATTATTTTGTTCACTGATGTAGCGAAGCATCAAACCAAGTACTTACCGAGGAACTGATTATTACTTAATCACTACCTGACCATTATCTACTGGTTTGTTCCTGGATAACAAACCTGTTATCCCCTAATAAGGCTTGGCTGTGTGTTCCCCAGTAAGTACTGGTTAACTACCCATTAGCTCCTGGTTTGTTCCTGAGGCGTTCCCTAGTAGTTAATCAAATTTTGTGTATCTTATTGTAAAGTGTTACTGATTTTTCCCCTTTTGTCTTTTTTGAGTCAATATAAAATATACCCTCAGCTAGCTTTTATTTGCTTTTTGTCTCATGCACATGTATTACTTTGTATTTTAAATAGACAGTATGTCTGAAAGTAAACCTTGTTTTCTTTTGAATAAGCTTTAAGGTCCAAGCAGCCCGTCCAGGAGCGACAGACTGCAGGAACTTTGTCAGATCCGTGCAGCCGGGAAGCGTCTGACTCAGTGGAGGAACACACGTCCCTGTTATCCTGAGAAATCTGACGATGAAGAGGAGAAAGCATTCAGTTGTGTGTTTTGTGAGGAGTTCCAGTTTGTGGAAACAGGCTGTATGCAGAACTCCACTGAATGGATCAGCTCCAAGTTGCTGCCCAACATGCTGTGGTTGTTCTGAAAACACTCGTTCACATTTATACATTTAAAAACTAACAGTGGATTTTAACTTCAGGTAAAATATGCTAATATGATTTACATCCATCCATCCATCCATTTTCTTCCGCTTATCCGGGGTCGGGTCG